AAATGAAACTTCACGACTTTATTGCAAAAACCAAGAATTTCAGAAAAGTCAGGACCTTCGTCACAAAAAATAAACTTTACATTTCTGTGTGCATGTGTTTAATGTATTTTTTTAGCATATATTATTATACAAATTAATATAAAAATAACTTAAAATTAAAGTAAAATTTGTTAATTTTCGGTCGCGTGTTCCCCTATCCCTATTTACTCTATGTTAAAATGACCTCGTTTAACGCTGTTTCGCTTAGCACTTTGTTGTCTAGGAACGCATCCCCCGCGTTAAGCGGCGTCTTACTGTAATTCGACCAAAAATAGTCGTTGACCTCCTCCTGGAAGAGAGGATGGCAACAACTATTAATTAATATTGGTGTACTATTTAATATTTGAAAAGTGATCCGTGTTGGATAGGTTGCAAGTCATCGAAGTTGCTAACGTTACCTTAACGTCCGAATGACTTCATATGACTTGTTGTATGTAAAAAAAATGTAAAATATGCGAAAATAATTGATTTTACATGATAATAAAGTGTTTATATTTTTGCAACAGATTGCATAAACTACGTGGGAAGTGTGTCTTCGTAAATATCACGTTGATAGAAAAATTATTATGATTCATTTTTACTCTTTCCGCCCTGTGGGGACTAAGAGGCCCATTATGGGTTTGGCCTGGCCCACGATGGGGCAACCGGGTGGTGAGGGACGGGCCCCGACATATCCGAACGGACCACCCACCGAAATATTCCTGCGGATTCTTTGACCCGTCCGAATTCGATCCCGTGTCCCCCCAGAACGGTAGGCTGCCACCTTAACCGCTCAGCCATCCGGCCTACAAATAGAAAATTATTAGAATTAGTTTGGTTTATTTGGTAACTGCAACGCGACACGAACGATCTGCCGAAGAAATGCATCCCAGGAAGACATTTATGGGAAACTGGTCCCTATTTAGGTGTTACTAACGTGAATAAAATCCGGAAAACTCTACATGGCTATGTCCAAACCGACGACCGACTACCAGTGTTCGGTGGTTTTATCCACTCAGCTATTGGAGGGCACTTATTAGAATTAAGAAAGTACCGCTCAAAAGTGAAAAAATACCGAGTTGTTAGATGTGGAAAATTAAATACTATAACAGATATTTGCTACCATAACAGATATTTGAAACAATTACAGTATTTTATAATAATTGGAAGGTCAAATTTTGCTTCCTGAAATATGTAAAAGAAACAATTTGCATTTATGGGGTAATAGCACCCAGGGCTGTGGAGTCGCGTAAAAGTCTACCGACTCCAACTTGGACTCCGACTCCGACCATGGGCGGACTTGTTACCGAAAGAGACCCGGAAATTCTGATGTCATCACGTGACCTCAGAATAAAATACAGTAAAACCTGTCTATGGCGACCACCCATGGTTCCTTCAAAAAATGGTCTTTTAGACAGGTGGTCGTCCAATACAGGTGGTGCTGTAATACCGTATTTCCTTACATATTTTGCGCACTTTTTAGCCATTTCTACTAAGAAAAACTCGAGGTGAGCAAATATAAGCGAATTTTTTCAGCGATAGGGCTATATTGGTATTGTATTTTCTTCTTACCGATAACTCGATTTACGGAAGTCGTCGTGATTTTATAAGACAGATTTAATACCAATATTTTAAAGATTAATACAATAGTCGCATTTTCTCGATTATAATGCACACTTTATTTCCGGCTTAATTAATTCAACTCAGTTGTTTTCGTTCGCTCCTCAGTTACGTGCATTACGTCATCGATATAGAAGCGCGTTGTATTTCTACATCACTTTGATTTTGGTATTCGCTAGTTTAATCTTATTTTAACTTTAAAAATACTCTATTTTTTTAAATATTTTCTTAAGTACAATAAGAAAAATTATTAAATAATAATAAAACGATTTTATTATTTTTTCTCGTTGTACGATTTCATTACAATCGCGGAATCGAAAAAGGAAGTGAAACTGATTTTTGCATTAATGCGTTTATTGTTTTTTGAATATTTTGCGTGCGAAAATTACTTGGATATTATTTTTCTAAAAATATCGTGGAAATAAGGTAGGCTGATACAGAAACTATTTATCGCACATGTACTGCATATGAGCTTCAAAATAAATAAAAATAGTTCTTTTGAAGACAAAGTCCTTTCCAAAAAATATAGGAACCACCATTTATTAACTTTGTGTTCCAGACATTACACTTTTGGCGACTGACCTTTCTTTTTAGGCTACTGGCCGCCAAAACACAATATTTTTGGAAAGGACTTTGTCTTCAAAAGAATTAATCATAATTATCTCCATCGGACGAAAATGTTGACTGCTACTTTCCAATGAATTGTGGGTAATTGGTAAGACATTTGAATGGAATCCATCTTGCTGAGAATGGAATTATGGGAACTAAGCACTTCGTACTCGAGTTGGAACGTCGTTGATGACGTCAAATTGTTGACTTCAACACTCGTGTTGAAAATTGGAATGTCCCGTTTAATTTTTTTTTTACCACTGAGGCGCCCCCTAGGACTAAGCGCTTGGAGCGGCTGCTCCGTTCTCCCTATAGTAGGGTCGGCTCTGGAAACAAATTCTAATCGAAATAGAAACAAAAAGAAATGTAGTAAAATGTACAGAATGGCTCGCAACAGATCGCTGCCCATCTGTAGCCGCTATTAACATAAGCGCATGCGCGTTGAAGGTGACATCAAATCGAGTGCAAGTGTACGGAAGTTGCAACTCGTAAGATGCTAGAAGGACTTTTTGTGTTCGCAAGTTAATGCCTTTTTTTTCTTTTATACGTTCAATATGATTGTCAGGTATGTATTTAAAGGAAGAGCCGTCAATTCTCAACGGCTGCGCAAATGACATATTGATAATAGGAGGGGGAAATTTCTTCATTCCTTTACAATTGTTATGATTTTTGAATGATTTAACATTATTTGAATTTATTTTAATCATAGTTTGCAATGAAATAAGAAAAGATTGTAAATGAAAATACAAACAATTTGTTATTCGTAATTGTCTTGGAAGAATCCTGGACAATTTCATAACGTGTCCCATTTCCTGTTGCGATTTTGACTTGCACGCGTACAATTCAATGTGTGCAGTATTTTTGTACAAATATGCACAATTGTTGTGTATATAATATATTAAAATACTGTAACTAGTGATACACTTGATATAGTGTTTTGAAAGCATCCGAGACAGATTAAACTGGTGCCTGACATAATCATACACTTGTCAATATTTTAACAAATATTTTATATTGTGAAGATAAATGTAAGGTTAAATAAAAAAAGAGACAGGTGTTGGATACAAAATTTTCCCGTACTATTTTATAAAATACACTCAAACTTTTGATTATGTTGTAAACATAAACAATATAAAGATTTAAAAGCTATTGGCTTTCTTCAGTGACACATCACACAATGAGCAGTTGTTGTTATAGTTTTTATTGAAGGAGATGCAAGTCATAATTCATTGAAATTAACTGATTTTTTTAGATAAATATTTCNTTCTTTTTAGGCTACTGGCCGCCAAAACACAATATTTTTGGAAAGGACTTTGTCTTCAAAAGAATTAATCATAATTATCTCCATCGGACGAAAATGTTGACTGCTACTTTCCAATGAATTGTGGATAATTGGTAAGACATTTGAATGGAATCCATCTTGCTGAGAATGGAATTATGGGAACTAAGCACTTCGTACTCGAGTTGGAACGTCGTTGATGACGTCAAATTGTTGACTTCAACACTCGTGTTGAAAATTGGAATGTCCCGTTTAATTTTTTTTTACCACTGAGGCGCCCCCTAGGACTAAGCGCTTGGAGCGGCTGCTCCGTTCTCCCTATAGTAGGGTCGGCTCTGGAAACAAATTCTAATCGAAATAGAAACAAAAAGAAATGTAGTAAAATGTACAGAATGGCTCGCAACAGATCGCTGCCCATCTGTAGCCGCTATTAACATAAGCGCATGCGCGTTGAAGGTGACATCAAATCGAGTGCAAGTGTACGGAAGTTGCAACTCGTAAGATGCTAGAAGGACTTTTTGTGTTCGCAAGTTAATGCCTTTTTTTTCTTTTATACGTTCAATATGATTGTCAGGTATGTATTTAAAGGAAGAGCCGTCAATTCTCAACGGCTGCGCAAATGACATATTGATAATAGGAGGGGGAAATTTCTTCATTCCTTTACAATTGTTATGATTTTTGAATGATTTAACATTATTTGAATTTATTTTAATCATAGTTTGCAATGAAATAAGAAAAGATTGTAAATGTAAATACAAACAATTTGTTATTCGTAATTGTCTTGGAAGAATCCTGGACAATTTCATAACGTGTCCCATTTCCTGTTGCGATTTTGACTTGCACGCGTACAATTCAATGTGTGCAGTATTTTTGTACAAATATGCACAATTGTTGTGTATATAATATATTAAAATACTGTAACTAGTGATACACTTGATATAGTGTTTTGAAAGCATCCGAGACAGATTAAACTGGTGCCTGACATAATCATACACTTGTCAATATTTTAACAAATATTTTATATTGTGAAGATAAATGTAAGGTTAAATAAAAAAAGAGACAGGTGTTGGATACAAAATTTTCCCGTACTATTTTATAAAATACACTCAAACTTTTGATTATGTTGTAAACATAAACAATATAAAGATTTAAAAGCTATTGGCTTTCTTCAGTGACACATCACACAATGAGCAGTTGTTGTTATAGTTTTTATTGAAGGAGATGCAAGTCATAATTCATTGAAATTAACTGATTTTTTTAGATAAATATTTCATATTAATTATAATACCTATTATATATGTTACAAATAAATTTTTAAATTTTAAAAATGTTTTTAGAAATTCCTTTTTGTTTCCTTGATTATTTATTACTTTTCATACTATAGCATCATACTTTAAGCTTTTCTTTACTGTAGTTCAATTGAAATTGGTCGTTTTGGAATAATTTCAGTAAATAATTGTAATTTCCATTTATCGATTTAAAAATAATTTTTAAATGTAAGAGGCTGTTTGTAAATTATGTCCGCATTTTTCTTGAAATTTTTATTCCTCTATCCCCTCTTGTCCCAGTTTGTCCAAGTTTTTTGTATCCCCTCCCCCCCTCTTTGGACATAAAACAAAACTTGATCCCTTTAAAACCTTAATTTCTTTATGAATGATAGGTACCATAAGTAGAAAGAAAACATGCAAAAAATTTTGAAATAAATATAATAAAATGCATAAATTGTATAAAATTTAATGAAATAAATGGACGTCTGCTCAAGCTTGACCCCCTCCCTTCCCATTGTCCAAACTGTGGTAACCCCCTCTCTCCCTTCCAATGTGGACATTATTTATGGACAGTCCCTAAACACTGTAATTATAAGAAATGTCCTATTATATTTAGTATCTAACTTAAACTGTATTTACTTCAAGGTTGCATCTTTAATGTAATGAGTTGTTAATATTTCATGATATATTTTCAGGCTAATAAAGGAAACTCAAAGGGCAACATCAAATATTTTATTAAATTTTTACATATAAAAGAATGATTAAAGAAAAAGTATTTAAGTAAATATCCATATCAAATGAAGTACATATGATTTCAGTTCAGAGAAGCAAATTATAGAAGTAAAAATAGTTTTAATACCAGTACATACAGAACATGTTACCAAGAAAGAGTCATATTTGTGATATGAATAAAAAAGTTAAAGAAGAAATTGGTATAGAATCAGAAAATGAGGAAGTTGATGAAAACCAAACACATGATGATATTAAAAATAAATCTGAGATAAAAGATTGTGAATCTATAAGTGCAGTAAATCAGCATATTCAAAAGGAAATTTGCAACATTCATAGAGTAGAAAATGAAGAATATATTCTTCCTGATGATAATGTACAAGAACATGAGTTAGATGGTGAAAATAAATCAATGGTAAGAGAAAAATTGTATTATGTCTATTTAGCTGATACATAGAGATGCACTGATAATGAGTTTATAAAGATATTGTTAAGTTAGTAATAATAATAATAATAATAACTCTCCCGTGGTCACCACCTGGTCGTGGTGGGAGAGCCCAGTAATTTTACTGAACCATAGGGCAATGCAGGCTGGAGCACAAGCTCCTGGTAGGGACACCCATGCCAGTAAGGTCTATGGGGAGAAATGAAGCTAAGAGTGACCACACACCCACATTATGTGGAGATAATCATAATGGTAGTAACCAGATCAAAGTGTGATACCGGCTCGGACGTCGCCCGGGTTAACAAGGTCCGCGTTCGTGGGTTAGGCAGAGGCTCACGTTCGAAAAATAGGCTCCAGTCTCCCTTGGTTACCGGTGGCGAAAGCAGCGCCGGCCCAAGCATGGCTACTGCAATGCCCTCAACAGATGTGAGGAATCAACCTAGCCTTGGTGTTTCTGTGGCAATGCATCCACAGACCACAAAGGCTGGAAAACCACGCCAACGGATGAAATGGACAACAGAAATGAACGAGTTTATCATCCGCACTTACTACACCATCACAAGACTCGAAACAAACATGACAGCATACAGACAACAACTACACCATAGATTCACACAACAATATCCTCACCTCACTGTCACCGAACAAAGGGTTGTTGATCAAAAACGAACAATTATACACAACAACCTTATCCCACAAACAACACTTGAACTTATCAAACAACAGGTTGCTGATCAAATACATCAACAGACAGAAACATTTAACATTAATGAAGATCACGTAACCTGTCAGGATAATCCAGCAACAAGCACTGATTACAGCACACACACAACAAGTACCACTAATGATACTGCAGGCACTTCCCCATCCATCACTGATAACATAGACATAGAATTAGTTAATACACTCTCACTTATATTTCAGGAAACACTCACTAAATATACAGGTACAGATCCCACACAAAGACCACGAATACCGAAAATCAACACGTCAAAGGTAGTAGGAAAAACACTAAATTATGTAAACACTCACTTACTACCAAACTACATTCATTCAATTTCTACACTCTCAGACATTCATACATTAGTTTATGCTGGGGCAGTCACAGTAGTAACACACCATGGACTGAAAATACACTCACAGACAGACACACACAAAACACAATTCTATCACAAGCCTGCCTGGCAGAGAAGAATAGAAACACAAATAAATGACATTAGACAGCAATTAGGCAGGCTGACACAATACACTAAAAACAACATAACACCCAAATTAAAGAAACAACTCAAAAACATTTTCAAGAAAATCAAAACACACACAAAACATGAACATCACAACACACACATTACAGAATACATCGATACACTAAAACAAAAACTCGCAGCCAAAGCACGTAGACTCAAACGATACAAAACATGTACACTACGAAAACAACAAAATAAATTATTCACAAACAATGAAAAACTTTTCTACAGACAAATCAGTACCAAAACAAACACTGATACACAGCACAGTGGCACACCAACAGAAGAAGAACTCACAACTTATTGGTCTTCTCTTTGGTCCAATGCTGTTACACACAATGCTGATGCAGGCTGGATCAAGGAGGAGAACAGAAACTTGCATAACATACCAAGTATGCCCTGTGCTGAAATAAACATACACGACATTCGCTACGCTGTTAACAGAACACACAACTGGAAGACACCTGGTGTAGACAACATTCACAATTTCTGGTACAAAAAGTTTACATCACTGCACCAGGAACTAGCTAAACATCTAACACACATCATCATCAATCCACAAGACATGCCAAAATTTCTTACTCGGGGCATTACCTACATGAAACCTAAAAACAACAAAACCACAGACCCCACACAATACAGACCAATTACATGTCTTCCAACACTCTACAAATTATTGACATCCTGTATCACAAACAAAATATACAAACATGTTGAAGAACACGACATTCTTACAGAACAACAAAAAGGTTGCCGTAGAAATCACAGGGGATGCAAAGAACAGTTACTCATAGATTCAGTCATTCTACGGCAAGCACACAAACAACACAGAAACATACACATGGCATATATAGACTACAGAAAAGCATTCGACAGTGTTCCACACAGTTGGCTGCTACATATTCTACACATGTACAAAATACATCCATCACTCATTGCATTCTTCGAAAACACTATGCAGCACTGGAGAACAACACTACATCTCAGGGTTAGTAACACTTCCATACAAACAAACGAAATATTCATTAGGCGAGGAATTTTTCAAGGAGATTCCTTGAGTCCTCTCTGGTTCTGCCTAGCCCTGAATCCATTATCCAACATGTTAAACAACACGCAATACGGCTACAATATCAGACACGAAAAAACAACACAGTTTACACTCTCACATCTCATGTACATGGACGACATAAAACTTTATGCATCCACACAAAAACAACTTCATCAACTCCTACAAATCACACATTCATACACTAAGGACATACAAATGGAGTTTGGCCTAGACAAATGCAAAAAACTTCACATAGAAAAAGGAATCCTGAAGAAAGAAGATTTTGCACTTGGAAATGGAGACGTTATTGAATCCATGGAAGAGGGCGAGTTCTACAAGTACTTAGGATTCCAACAGGCCAAACTAACAGAACATACACAAATAAAGCAACGATTAATTAAAGAATACCAAAGTAGGTTAAACGCTATACTTAGAACACAGTTAAATGCAAAACACACAGTTAAAGCAATAAACACATATGTCATCCCAGTACTCACATACTCTTTTGGAGTTATACATTGGACTCACACAGATCTCGAGCAACTCCAAAGGAAAACAAGAACAACACTTACTAAGCATAAACAACATCATCCTAAATCCGCCACAGAAAGATTAACCCTTCCACGTAAAGAAGGCGGACGTGGCCTGATTGACATAGTTAACCTTCACTACAAACAAATACAGTCACTGCGAGAGTTTTTCTACAAGAAACAAGAAACATCACAGTTACATAAAGCAGTAACTCTAGCAGACTCAAATAACACACCATTAAACTTACACTCACATCATACAGACATGACACAACACATAAAAAGCATAGACACCATCAAGCAATCGTGGGCTCGAAAGGCACTCCATGGCAGGCATCCTTATGACCTGGCCCAGGATTTTGTTGACAAAACTGCGTCAAACAGCTGGTTAGATCGGGGATGCCTCTTTGGGGAGACGGAAGGATTCATGATTGCCATACAGGATCAGGTCATAAATACTAAAAACTACAGAAAACACATACTCAAAGATACAACACTCACAAATGACACATGCAGAAAATGTCACATCATGCCAGAAACTATACAACACATCACTTCTGGTTGCAAGCTCTTGGCACAGACAGATTACTTACATAGACACAATCAAGTAGCAAATATAATACACCAAGAGCTTGCAAAGAAACACAAATTGGCAGACATCCACGAACCATACTACAAGTATATTCCACAGACAGTATTGGAAAATAACACGCACAAAATGTATTACGACAGAGCCATAATCACAGATAAAACAATTTACCACAACAGACCAGACATCACACTCATTGACAAACACAATAAAATCACATACATTATAGACATAGCCATTCCAAACACTCACAATGTACAAAACACATGCACTGAAAAAATTAGCAAGTACACAGAACTTGCCCAGGAAATAAGGCATCTGTGGAGGATGGATAGGGTAGTTATTGTACCTGTTGTTCTCTCCTGTACAGGTGTGATACCACACACGCTACACAAAAGCCTGGGAACATTACAATTGAGTAGAAATACATACATCACACTACAGAAGGCCACTATATTGAATACATGCCATATTGTTAGGAAATTCCTTAATACAGACACTGACACACACATTTAATTTTAGTTTTGTTTTGGTTGCTATGCCTTGACTCTGGTCCGGCATAGTACACAGCCACCGGTGTGTACCGAGTATTACCCACTAAACCCAACACAATAATAATAATGTCATAAATACTAAAAACTACAGAAGATAGAAAACACATACTCAAAGATACAACATGCACAAAATGTACTATGAAGAGTCATAATCACAGATAAAACAATTTACCACAAAAGACCAAACATTGCACTCACTGACAAACACAATAAAATCACATACATTATAGACATATCCAATTCCAAACACTCACAATGTACTGTACAAAACACAATGCACTGAAAAAATCAGCAAGTACACAGAACTCACCCAGGAAATAAGGAATCTGTGGAGGATGATGGATAGGGTGCTCATTATACCTGTCATTCTTTTCTCTACAGATGTCATACTAAACACACTACACAAAAGCCTGGAAACATTGCAGTTGAATAGAAACACAATTATATTGCCATTATATTGAATATATCATATTGTAAGGAAATTCCTGAATTTCCTTACAATATGATATATTCAATATAACACACCGACACACTTATTTAATTTTTGCTTTGTTTTGGTTGCTATGCTTTGACTCTGGTCCAGCATAGTACATAGCACCAGTGTCAACCAAGTATAACTCACTACACCCAACATAATAATAATAAATAATAATAATAACAACTATTCATCACAATAGACCTGACATCACTCTCATTGGCAAATGCAGTAAGATCACTTGTATAATAGACATCTCTGTTCCAAATACTCATAACAAAAAAACATCCACACTGAAAAAATCAACAAGTTCCAATTTCTCAAGAAATAAGACAGATGTGGAGGATAGATAAGCATTTATTATATCTGTTGTCTTCTCTTCTCTGCTGTAATAATACATACACTACACAAAAATCTAGAAACATTAAACCTTAATAAAAACATATACATGGCACTACAAAAAAACTGCAATATTGAACATGTATCATTGTTAAGAAGTTTCTAGATGTTGACACATACACCAATAACAC